CCTGGGTGCAAACTAATCCTGACTCCATTCCCGGTATTAAAAAAAAAATGATTTTTTTGATGTACCATTTAGCTACTCTGAATTCAATTTAGCATTAGATAATAAAAAAGTCTGCTCTAGTCCCGGAATGGATGGCATTGATTTTGAAATCCTAAAAAATTTAAGCCCAAAATTTAAACTTCTCCTTCTTGACATTTTTAACGAAATGCATTCTTCCAGTATTTTTCCACATAGTTGGAAAAATACTTTTATTCACTTCATCCCCAAGCCCAATGGAACTTCAGTTCGACCGATAGCTTTAACGTCATGTTTATGTAAATTGTATGAAACGATACTCAAAAACAGACTAGAATGGTGGATAAAACACCGAAATCTCCTTCCTAAAAGTCAAAATGGTTTTCGCAAGGGCAAATCTACAACAGACAATATAGTCAATCTCGCACTTAAAGTCGACAAAGCCTTTGCAGAGAAAAAAAGTGTTCTAGCCGTATTTCTGGATGTTGAGGGAGCTTTTAATAATGTAAATGTTGACATACTTTTGTGTAAACTACTTGACTTTGGCTGCTCCAAAAGTGTCCTTAAATTCATCAAATTTATTCTACATAAACGTTTGATCTATACTGGCTTTCATGGAAATAAATGTCGTTCTGTTTTCAAAAGCACTCCACAAGGGGGTGTTCTCAGCCCCCTTTTATATATTATATATGTTTCTGAAGTTACTGCTAAGTTGCCCAAAAACGTGTTTGTTTCTGAAATTGCTGACGATATCGCGATCTATGTCAAGTGTCACAATATTAAATGGGGCAAAGGGCTACTGCAGAACGCCAGTAACACTGTTGATAAAAACCTGAAAAAAAATTGGATTAGATAACGCTCCTCATAAAACTGTACTTGTCCATTTTAATAATGTGGGTATACCTCCTGGGGACACTCGCATTAAAATTAGAGACACTGAAATTATTTCTTCTGATACAACGCGTTTCCTTGGAATACTTTTTGACTATAAAATGACATTCATTCCGCACCTAGAGCATATAATCAAAAAATGTAACAAAGCCTTAAATCTAATTAAATTTCTATGTGGCACATGGTGGGGGGCTGACCCAGAGACTCTCATCACGCTCTACAAAAGTTATATCAGATCAATAATCGATTATGGAAGTTTCGTTTATTATCGTGACATAGACAATTTTTTTACAAAGTTAGAAAAAATTCAGAATTCTGCTATCAGATCTGCTTTAGGTTATCGAATCAGCACTCCAAGAATCATACTAACAGCCGAATCCAAACTTGTGATTGTTAAAGAAAGGATCAAATACTTATGTAAATGTTTTCTATCCAAAATATCTTCTACCTCTGGCTCTTTAACTTTGGAAAATATTAATAAATATTGCAATATAGTCATAAAAACTAAATACAAACCTAAAAATATCATTTTTTCTTGTTTTAATTCTTTTACTGATCTCAATGACAAAATTATTAAAAAAGATAAAGCTAGCATTTTCTGTCATGACTTTAATTCAATCTACTCTTCTATTCCGATTAATACACAGTTTGGTAACATTCTTAAACATTCAAGAGCACCCAACGCTCTTTTTAATGAAATTTTCTCTGATATGGACGGGATTAAAATTTTCACAGACGGCAGTAAATCAGTTGAGTCACCTCATGCTGGTTCTTCCTGCTTGTGTAGTGAACTCAACATTTGTATTAAGAAAACCATTGACAAATATGCTTCTGTCTTCACAGCCGAATCAATCGCTCTGAGAGATGCACTAGACATCGCACTTTGTAACAAAAACAGAAACATTCTCATTTTCTCTGATTCCCTAAGTGTCTTACAAAGCCTTCAGTCTTCTCAATTTTATATTATAATTAAAATTAAAGAAAAGTTCGATCAATTTTACACTAACAATACTAATACCATCACTTTTTTCTGGATTCCATCATACGTGGCAATCACTGAGAACGAGAATGTTGACAGGCTCGCTAAACAGGCTGCTGACTGTCAAGAAGCTGATATAACTACTTTTCCGTTTACAGATTTACAAGAGAGCTTTAAAAAACAAATGTTACATAAAAATCATGAGTTCCTCACAAGACCAAATCATGGCACTGGTATGATTTATTTTCAATTTTACTATAAGAATGTATGTCAACCTTGGTACTTCAAGTGTAAACTTGGCAGAGAATTTATTGTAACTGTCAATCGAATGAGAAGTAACCATTATCATCTAGCAGCTTCGCTTGCTATCATTGGAATAATTCAAAATTCTATGTATAACTGTAATGACTTTGATGAAAATTTAAACCATGTTACTTTTCAATGCAAATTGTACAACGAAAAAAGAGTCAAACTGTTAAAAAATCTTCTTAAAATTAACCTTATTTTACCTTTGAACGTAGAGTCTCTAATTGCCGAACTAAACACTGCAGCATGCAAATGCATACTCAATTTTTTCAAAGAATGTAACTTAAAAATTTAAAATCTATGTTAATACACACTTGTTTGAAAATTTATTACAGCTTAATATTGTAAGCTAAATTAATCTTATGTAGATTAGAAAGCCTAATAAATAAAAAAACAAAAAAAAACACCTATTTCCACGCCCGCTCACGAAATAATCTTCACGTACTCATATGGCGAGCGGGCCATTATTTTCAAACCATCGGTGCCGATATCTACGAGTAACGACGACTCGGGCATTAAATGAGCTAGGGCGTACACACTCGTGGTCGTAATGAAGAGGGTGTCGTACCTCAATCTCCAAAGGGTCTTGCGCTGCGTGACCGTCCGAATAAACAGACTACGCGAGATCACCGACAGCGCTAGCAGTTGCAAAGACACGCTGATTGCGGAGCTCGATCGCCGCGGGGATGACGCCTCCAGGGACAACATATTCGACGATCATCGGCTGGTTTTGGAAAAGAAAGGCCTGTGGTCGCCAGCTCTTTATCAGTTATTGGTGGAGCTACTCTCCCTGTATAACCACGAGTACCTATCCTTCGTGCGGAGCACCACGGCTGCCCAGAACGGTCATGCTTAAGGGTTTATTCTCTTAATAAAATTGTACAGATACTGTTTCTTACAATATACGACATATATTTAAAAATACCTATTTTTTCTTTTTTTTTTGTTTCCTTCACCTCCATCTCCCCATATCTTGTCAATAATGGTAACGGGCGGTA